TGTCCCACGTTGCCCTGAGGCTCCCCGTGCCCCTGTGTCCCACGTTGCCCTGAGGCTCCCCGCCCCGCTCACCTCGTTCCTGGAGCGCAGCACGATCAGGTCGCTCACTTTGCCGAAGGGCTGCACCAGCTTTTTGATGTCCTGATCCGAAAATCCGTCGTCGGGCAGGTCCGAGATCTGCAGGACGGTCCCGCAGCTCAGCAGGTCCTCCCTCAGCAGCTACACAGGGGACACAGAAGGCAAACAGACACTTCCCAAGTCAGGGGTTTCGCCACAGTCTCCTTGTTTTGCTGTCCTGCCTCAGCCTCTATCCCTGGGAGTGTCCAAGGCCAGGCTGGACGGGGCTTGGAGCAGCCCAGGATAGTGGGAGGTGTCCCTACACGTGGCAGGGGGTGGGACTGGATGGGCTTTAAGGTCTCTCCCAACCCAACCCATTCCATGATTGCAGGATCCCCACCCTTCCCCGCAGCCAGCAGACCTCAGTGTCGCGCGGAATGGGTCACCCTGCCAATGACCCCCCAAGGGAAACACCAACCAAGTCCTCAAAAAGCAGAGAGCACCCGCAGGAACTCACCCTGTTGTAAGAAGCAGACTGAGGTTTGCTGCTCCCTGCGGATTCATCTTCCTCATCCTCTTCCCCCTCCTTGTTTTGGGCTGATTCCTCCGTTTTGGCCGAGGCAGAACTCGGCCCAGGTGCAGCAGACCCGTCCTTCTTGGGAGCCTTTGGGGCAGCACTTGTCTTCAGTGGCTTCTTCACGCTCCCAGACACCTTCCCCGGGGGGCCATGAGTGGATGAGGATCTTCCTGATCCCAAGGACCCCTGCACAGCTGCCTGAAGTGATTTGTGTTTCTTGAACTCTGCCAGGAACTCCGGCCCCAGGGTTTTCATGACGGCCTCGAGTGCTGCCTTTCTGTCTGTGAGGGAGGGAAACCAGGGGGGTTGGATTTGTCCTTAAACACAACTTACAGACACTTCTGTTCTTTCCTACAGTTTCAGCTTCACCACCCACTCCTGAGCCAACCCTGAGACTGCCTGAGCTTAGAGAACCTTCACAGTAAATATTAACAAACCTCAGGATGTGACGCTCCAAAACAACACCTACAAAAATCCCAAGGGCCGGACACGAGAAAATGCAAAATATTGTTTAATTTTCTATGTCAGAGAGGGATTTTTGAAGCCCCTGCTCCTCTCTCACACTGAGGCCCAGCAGTACTTACTATCTTGGTGCCTTCTGCTAAATTCTGCCTCCTTCTCTTGCTCTTTGTTGGTTTTAATTATTCTTTAACGAGCTGCTACAACAATAATTTCCTGTCTGCTGGCTTTCTGTGGAGAATTCACATTTTGGTTATTCGTTGCTTCTCCCCCTCCTCCACTTCCACGGTTTGTGTTTTACCCTCATCAAAGCTCCTGGAACCTGCCTGTCCCTTCACAACTTCCCAGCAGGACCTGTGTCCCACAGAACCTCTCAAAGCTCTGGAAGCACACAGAGAAGGCAGCCCGGGTTGGGATTTTCCAGGGAAACCTCTGGAAGCCAGCTGGGCGCTCCCGAAGCGCCAGGAGGTCCTGCTCTGGCAGTGTATTCCCATCCCATCCCATCCCATGCCATGCCCATGGTACCTTCGGAGCGGCTGGACCTGCGTGAGGAGCGCTCGGAGCTGGAGGAGCGGTGGGAGCGGGAG